ACTTCTGCATAGTTCCTTTCAAAGCTCAGGGTTCCAGAATTATCTTCTGTGTCTCTGTCAATTGGTTTTTCTTTTCTTTGTTGAAGAGGATCTGTGTCGCTTGTCTGCCTATTCCTCCATCTTACCAGAAGTCCCATTCATCTGTTAATAAATGTTTAAATTTCACTTTTAAAAAGATAGCTTAAAAATTAGTGCTGTATAGAAAAGCAGAAACAAATTGAACTTAAAGTCCAGTTTTGAATATCATTGCCATAGAGCCTCAACTTTGTTCTGAACTCTTTATTTTCCTGTTAATTTTTGAATGACTATCACTAGATTTTAACCTGGATGACAGTAGAAGTAGGTGTCTCTTGATTTCTACTGTGGTCCCCATATGCAAGGAACCCTGATGAGTGCTCAGCTGCTAACCAAAAGGTCAAAAGTTCAAACCCACCAAGTGCTCTGTTGGAGAAAGAAGTTAGCAGTCTGTTTTTGTAAAGATTACAGCTGTGAAAATAGGGCGTTTCCACTTTGTCCTATAGGGTTTCTGTAGAGTCACTCTAAGTCAGAATTGACTTGATGACAATGGGTGTTTTTTTTTTTGCTCAACATGCAGTATTTGGTGAAATGAACAGAGTCTTATTTGAGAAGTTTTGGAGTTATGAGTCAGCCAGACCCATGTCTGAATCCCAGATTTTCTATTTCCTAATAATTTGACCTTGAAGAAATGATGTGACCTCTTTAAGATCTGGTTTTCTCTTTTTTTTTTTTGGGGTAAAAGGAAGATGATGATGCTTTCCTCCTTTGGCTTTTGTGAGTTGTAAGTCCCTGGTGCTTACAAGATCAGGGTTGACTCCTTTGCAGCATTTCATCAGGTTTAATATTTTCATATCCCTTTACTTGGCTTTTTTGAGTTTACCTGTACTTTTGTACATAATAACTCCATTCACATTTAGGTACTGTTCTGTGCATTCATGTATGAAAGTCAAATGCAGAAGAAAGTAATTTTTATAAATTGTATCATCACAAGTACAGTTTAAAGTATTTAATGTGTTAATATTCCCAGTGTGTAGGAACATAATGAGGTATTGAAAGAAGGTCTCAGTTGGCCCCTCTATTGTCTGAATTTAAAATTGTTCTTAGAGACTGATGTTTCCTCGTAAAAGGTTTCTCCCTTTGTTAATCAATTAAAGGTTGTGATAATCTCTCTCTCCTTTCCTTTGCAAAGATGATGTACCTAGCCTCAGGTCTGTGCTGTGTTGGTGCCCTGGCTGGCCTTTCCACCCAAGGAACAGCTCGTCTTGGCAATGCTCTGGGCATGGTTGGGGTTGCTGGAGGTCTGGCAGCCACCCTCGGAGGCCTACAACCGTGCCCAGAGTTGTTAGCTCAGATGTCTGGAGCAATGGCTTTGGGCGGTACCATTGGTAAGCACAAGTAGGCTTCTGCTTGTATTTGAGCCATGCCCTAGAGCAACTAAAGACAGTTAGGCTCAGAGATTTATGAGTAATTTGTTAGGAATAAGACCTTTTAATATTACTTCTGTTTCTGAATGTTTATTTCTGTTTTGAGGTCCATGTTGATCAAAGAATTATTTCGCCTTAGTGGCAGTCGCCTAAATGATTATTGTTTTGGTAAGAGTTCATCACAGTTGATGCAGTTTTCTTTCAAATACAAACATTTTAAAACATTGAATGTGTCAACTGAGTCAATAGAGTGGGCTAAAACCCCGCTTACTTGGTTCTTCTCCTTAACTGGTCTGTCTGCGGGGTGCCAATAGAATGGGGGATTGTAATACTTCTACACGTGTTAGGTATTGGTTTATCTTCTGCTCTGTTGTGTGTAAATAACAGCAGAAGATTTTGCTTCCTAGACCTGTTAAAAACTAGAAAAACATACCTGCCAGCAGAACAATCAGTTTTAATCTTTTCAGTGATATGCTGGGATTAATTTTTAGGAATTTTCTGAGCTGGTTGTTAAACACAGCTATTATTAAAAATTAGATTGTAGAAACTTAGAATTAAATAAATTATATTAAAAACAAAGGTAAGAATTCGTACCTTTGATACTAATGCATCACTTTCAAGTTAATTTATTATATTTTGTTATTTATGCTCTTGATACTGTTTCTGTCCATTGTATCTGTGCAGCAGAAATACTCTGTAATAGTGCGCTGCTGCAGTCTCTTCCCAGCCATCAGCTTGAAATTGACCACGGTGAATGTTTACACCACACACATCAACAAAAGCACAAATCTGGGCTTGATTTATTGTTCTGTTGTTTGTTTAGACCTAAGAAAGTAAGGGAGAAAATGTTAACATGCCAACTGAAACGTAGTATGTTGTATCTGTAGCCATTATACTGTCAATAGCACAAAAAATCGAAGATAATGTTGTTTCAATATTTGAAAACTATTATCAGACTCAGCAAAGAAGTCCTTCACCTTGACAAATGATTGAAGTTCTTACATACATTGTTTTACTTTCATCTTGTTGATGCAAATAAAAATATCAACCAGTGTTTATGTTGGAACTACACTCATTTATCCATTGCAGACACATGATGGCTACTGATACAAATGTTTGGCAAAGATGAACAAGAGGATACTGTGAAAATCATCTGGCTGTGTGTAATGTATAATAAATTGTATGGTGTAATTTGTTACTTGAAAATTCTGGGCTCTTCACCTTTGTGTTGGTAAAAGTCTCACGTATGTGTTCATACATGCACATATTATTTTTTCCCCTGGAGAGCTGGTTGTTAAACATGCACCAGCACACCATCCATCTCAGGCTTCTTTGTATGAAAACCTTTGAGTCCTCTCTTGACAGCGTCCAGCGAGGACACGAAGGAAGATGGTATGTGCTGCAGCTTCTGCATCACTTACCCATAGCCGTGAGACTGTCTAGAGTTTTGTAATTTGGACCTTCCCTAATCCACATATTTGCATTTTGTTACTACTGGAGTTGGCTCCTACTTACACATCTGAACACCTAGACCTTCATATTTCATCTGTTTCATGTGTGATCATGGGCAGCTGTTGGCTTATGTTGAAGAGAGGTGGGTGGTTTGAGCAGTGAAGGAATCTCAGGGGAGTTAATTGGAGTTTTAAGCAATCTAAAGAAGTATTAGGCTAAGGGGGTTGTTCAGGTGATGTGAAGGACAGGGAAAGAGGCACTAGTTTGGTGTGTTTGGTTTCTTTGGAGTGGGGCGTTGGTCAGGTGTGATGAGAAAACCTGCCATTTTGACAGAGTATACGTAGCAGTCTTCTCACCTTCTGTAGAGTTCCTACAATATTTAGCCCACACTGGGAACTACATCAATATTGATTGGTGACAGTGATGGAAACCTTTAAGTGAGGTCTTTATTGTTGTTATTTATCAAAGATCTTTAAGTTTTAATTTCTTTTTGACCTTCATTTCCCAACAGGCTTGACAATTGCCAAGCGCATCCAGATTTCTGATTTACCTCAATTAGTTGCTGCTTTTCACAGTTTAGTGGGTTTGGCCGCTGTGCTCACTTGTGTGGCTGAGTACATTGTAGAATATCCACATTTTGCTACGGACGCAGCAGCTAATCTCACCAAGATTGTGGCCTACCTCGGTACTTACATCGGTGGTGTCACCTTCAGTGGGTCTCTTGTTGCCTATGGAAAATTGCAGGGTAAGTGATTCAACATAACATAGGGATAAGTGTAATTTCTTTTTGGGGGAAGTGGTCCATTTCACCTTTAGGTAAAGAGTATTAGTGTGGCACTAAGAAATATGTACTTTTTCCCCCATAAAGATGACTCTCATTTATTTATCCTTACAAATCTCATTAAACATTGAAGCTATTTCTTTGAAGCAGATAGCTAGTGGAGGAATCTAGTGCACAGACATTTGCCTAGGACTAGTTGACACTGGATAACGCATACAAACGAAATAACATCCTCAGAATCCTTAGTTCAGGACATGTTTGTAGAGTTTACAGAAATGAACTTTTTACATTTTCTGATACAAAGAGAAGCTTATTGAGGTGTGATTGGTAAACATATTTGTTTTGAAAATAAATACACACTTACGGCTCTCTCCTGGCAACTTTTGCTACTGCTAAAGTCCATTATGAAATGGAAGTGGAAGGAAAAACCACTTAGGCTGCTTACAGTGTTTTTGCAAAAATGTGAATCTCTGGGGAAACCAGTTCATGATTTAAAAACTTGGTCTTGCTTCTTAGTAATCAAGCCATTAAAATTAATTGAGGAGCTTCCATAAAACGTAAAAATCACTAAACAACTTCAAGCCTAAAACATTCTTGTCTCATGTTTTGTCTTTAGAAACAACTAACAAACAATGATTCTTCTCCCTTGGGCTCAGTTGATAGGATCAGAAATGCTAATGTTCTAGGACTCTGTATTGGAGTTTTAAATAAATAAAACCATACCTAACAACTTCTGTGTTGGTCATATGGAGAAAAAAAAAAATCACTTTTCAAGATTCCATGACAAAGGGTAAAGAAATTGTTATGTGACCAAAGTAAGGATTAAAACTATTAGGTTGAACCATACTTTTTCAGTTTCCATTAATGTTTGTTATATGTAAAAACTCTAATTTGCTTTTATCTTTCAGTATCTGGTGATATAAAGTGATATTTTAAACCCCATGCTATTATTCTAATACTGAGTTTTGGTAGTGGGGGATTAAATGGCGGTATATTTGAGAGCATGTGTGGGGGGGTTTTCTATGACATGTTCTGGGTTCTCAGTCCATGTGCTTGGTCCCAGGTATCCTGAAGTCTGCTCCTCTCCTGCTTCCTGGAAGGCACTTACTCAATGCAGGCTTGCTGGCTGCTAGTGTGGGTGGACTAATCCCCTTCATGGTGGACCCGAGCTTTACCATGGGCATTACCTGTCTGGGTTCCGTGTCAGCTCTCTCTGCTATCATGGTAAGAAGTCACGGATGAAAGCACACCTTTAGAGAAGAACAGGGAATATTTTGTTAGGTTACAGGGATATAGTCTAACCTTCTGTTTAAGACCCCGGGTAGAAAAGAAAATGATTTAAAATGATGTTACATGGTCATTATTTTAGAATCTGGAAAATATAGAAAAATGTGAGAAGAAAACTGCTTTTTCTATCAATTTAATTTCCGTTTCAAAGTTAAGGCACTTATGACACTGTTACTGCTCTGGGGTCTTTATACTGAATCATTGTGTTGGTGAATAGGAATTTAAATACACCAAGGGTTTTAATTCTATTCTTTAGGTGCCTAACCCAAAACCAAGCCAAACCCATTGCCACTGAGTAGATTCTGCCTTATAGCAACCATATAGGACAGAGTGGAACTGCCCAGAGGGTTTCCAAGGCTGTCAGTCTTTATGGAAGCAGACACCCCAGCTTTCTCCCACGGAGTAGCTAGTAGGTTCAAACAGCCAGTCTCTCAGTTAGCAGTCAAGCTCTTAACCACTGTGCCACTAGCGCTCCTTTATCAGGTGCCTACTTTGTTTCATAAGGAGCTCTGGTGGTGTAGTGCCTAAGGCATTTGACTGCTAACCAGAAGGCTGGCGGTTCAAACGCACCAGCCACTCCTTGGAAGGAAGGTTGGCCAATCTACTTCCATAGTGATACCGCCTTGGAAACCCAAGGAAGAGTTGCTATGAATCGGGTTTGACTCCATGGCAGTGGTTTGGTTTTATACCTTTTAATATAGTGCCACTTTCAATAAGTGTAAGTTGGTCCTTACCCATTAGTTGCTCTCACTTTCTTTGGAGGATGAAACCAAATCAAGTAAAATGAAATGTAGTTAGTAAACCCTGTGTGTTCAGTGAGAGGGTTCAGTGAAGCCTTTCTTGGTAGCTCTGATCCCTCTTGTCCTCTCTAACTCTTGCTCTAAGTATATTGGTGGTGGTGTTGTGTACCATCAAGTCAGTTCCTGACCCATAGAGACCAACTACAATGGAAATGAGAATATTCAGACATTGTGAAGAATATAACCAATGTTACTAAAGAATTTGTGTAGAAATTGTTGAATGGGAACCTAATTTGCTATGTAAACTTTCACCAAAAAGAATAAAATCACTATTTAAAAACAAAAATTAAAGAAAAAAAGAAATACAAAGCTTAAAGAATTGTTATTTTTCGAGAAGAGTGACTTTGATATTTAAAAGATAAGGATTGAGAATATGAGAATGTCCAACCTAAAGGTGAAGCATTTTGTGGAGTTATATTAATTGCTTTTATTTTAATTACTTAATACATGAATATATTCACATTGTAATAAACTCAAAATACATGGGTATCTGGAAGAAAAAACAAAAGTCTTTCTCCCCACTACCCTTCTCTCTTCCTTATCTTTAGTAATTTTTGATAGTATATGTGTTGTTTATCTAGTGCTGCTATTACAGACATACCAGAAATGTATGGCTTTAAAAAACAGGGATTTATTCTCTTGCAGCTTAGGAGGCTACAAGTCTTAAGTTCAAAGTGCCAGCTCTAGGGGCTGGTTGATGGCCCTCGACCTTGGACTTCAGTTCTGTCTCTTGCTTCTGGCCCACTGAAGCTGGAGGCTTCTCTTAGACAGCTGCTGGTTGCTGAGGCTGACAAACCCAAGGTCGACAAGTTTCTGGTTATCTAGTGCTGCTCTGACAAGAATATACTGCAAATGGGATGGCCTTAACAAACAGGAGTTTATTCTTATAATTTGGAGGCTTTAAGTCCAAGTTCAAAGTGTCAGGCTCTAGGGGCTGTGTGAAAGCCCCTCAACCCTTTGGGCTTTAGTTCTGCCTCTTGCTTCCGGCCCACTGAAGGTAGAGGCATCTCTTCACTTAGGCAGCTAGTGGCTGCTGAAGCTAACAAGCCCAAAGTTGACAAATAAAATGGCACAGCCCTGACATTACCAAACCACAC